CAAAGTTTTATTGTGTTGCTCATTAACTTGATGCCTGTTAATTTCTGGATCACTTATTGGCTCCGTTAGACTTAATGTCAGCCTCAGTTAATTTGTCTTTTCAGTGGACTAATATTATGGAAATATAATTTTGTTTTATTGCTTTTCTGTAAATTGCTAAGGGAGAGTTATATTGGAAAAAGGGACATTTTTTTTTACTCCAACCTTTACTTACATGGTTGCTGGCGGTATTTAGAATTGCGTAGTTACATTAATTTGAACAATTTATTGAAACGAGAAGTACTCCCAAGATGAATTTACATATTTTTTTTACATATTTAATCAAATGTTATGGTGAAGCAGTTTCTTAATTATTAAGTAGCCTTTTTGCCAAATAGTAAGTTAGTCTTTATGATGACTTTTAACTCCGAACTGATTGAACATATGTTGAAGATAAGTTGCAATCAGAGGTGACTAGTTGCTAAAAATTCTGTCGTTTTCCCTTTTTAATTGAAGTTTTGCAAAAAAAAAAAAAAAAAACGGGTTAAATATAATTTATTTTAGGTTGAGAAAAGGTGACCTATAACTTCGATTTAGAGTTTAAACTAAGGGAGTTGAAACCTTATTATTGTTAGCAAGATCTTGCCATACTCACTTCATTTCTTTTTGTGGTGCATTATTGTTAGGTTTTTATCATAAAAGGCTCATTCGTTTGTTTACTTTCTTTGCTGGGTTTCTATCTCTGTATTTACATTAGTGTTGGGCTTTCTCAATTTTGCTTTGTAGATATTTTTGTGTTTTAGTTCAACTCTTTCTTTCCAATCTGTTAACTCATTTCCTTTCCTCTGTTCTCCTGCTTCACACACTCCCGCAGCTATTAGAAATCCTGATTAAGCTCACCTGGTCCCAATATAATTCTTCACCCTTCGTTTCACCTTCCTCCCCCCCGTCCCCCGTTGTTCAGTGCTTGGTTCTTACATCAAGCTTTCTGGTTGGACGGCTTGTTCTCCCTGTGTCAGTCTTTTACTTTTTTTTAAGTTTTTCATTAAATCCATTTTGTCAACTTTCTGCATTTATCAGATCAGAAACTAGATATGGCACCAAACTTTGAGATTGTGGTTATACAAAAACCAGCAAGTATCAAATATATATGCGACAAATATCAAAATCAATCTTAACACTGATCTGTCCTATAGATTATATTAATTTGAATTATTGGTGCAACCACATGTTCATATGTTTTAAGACTGTACTGTTCCTTGCTGAATTTGTACAACCATAATGAGTTGGAAGAACATCAAATCCTCATCTTAACCGTAAATAAATATTTTATATATTAACACAAACTGAATTATTATGCATTTTTCACTCATGTACAAAACGATAAAGATTTAGTTTTTTTTACATACACATTTTCTCCTTAGCACATAAAGCTTGTCATGAAAAGAGAGAGCAAAACAAAATGAGATCTTCTTTTGCTTCATTAAATTTAAAGACTGCATGAAAATCCTTTTTTAAATATTTAGCTGCTAGAAATGAGCAAGTCCTGGCACAGCAAAGCTGCTGTTCTTCACTCGACTAACTCACTATTAGACTAGAGTTGAGAAGTGAATAAATTAAATACATTTTGGGCTTTTAATTTTTTTAAAGAGGTTCAGTGAAGTTAACAGTAATAAATTCTCTTAGAAAGTCCACTGTACCATATTGGCTATATAAGACTTAGTCAGCGTATTTATAATTCTATATTAGTATTGGGTTTTATGAAGTAAGAAAATGGTGAGAAAATAAACTCTTGTTGGAGTGCAGGTGGTGATCTGCTGAGATGGTATTGTGTTTTTGTATAAACTAAAAGTTTTTCTGCAAATTAGAAATAGTTTATATAATTATAAACTAGAGATTTATGACAAATTGTTTTCCTGTCAAACTGAAAGAAAAACTAGTTATGCACTATAAAATAATAACTAAAGTTATTATGTTATAGCTGTAGATGGAATTTTGCTTTAATACTGCAGTACTTGGTTGTGCCAAAAGAAGACTCAATTATATGTATTTACAGACCATTAAACACTGAACTGTTTTACTAGTCGAAAAAATGTAATGTTAACAAACTCGTAAACCCAACATGTCGTGTCTTGTTTTTTGAGCACAATATATTTCCGCCTTTACACTTTTTCATGTAGAAAAATCTTTGCAGAGTTCAAAGCACACAATAAATTTCCAACACAGTACATTTAGGATTTTAATATACAGTTTTCAAGATAAAGTTCTTTGATAAACAAAGGGACAATTTTTTGGCTATATAAAAGCTATTTAGAAACAAGTGACTAGACTTGGGGACTACAGTGGTTGTGTGCTTACATTTTCAGGTATCAAATACAGACACATTTAGCTCAGAGTGAAGAAAGGACTCACAAAGTTCAGAGGAAACATCTCACTGACTGATTAACAAGATTCACTTCATCAATAATTTCAACCACATTACTACACACTGAGCCATTTATGAGCTATACTTTCAGGAATATGCAAAATAATAATAATAATAATCAGGTTCAGAAGCCAGATTACAAGTCAGTCCCATCAGTAAGCACTTATTAAATTACAAAAGTTTTAAATCTATTAATGTGAGAAAACTAACACTATGGGCTGCACTGTTGGGCAGTTGTTTGAACTGTTGCTTTGCATCAAGAAGGTCCTGGGTTCGAATCCCAGCCTAAAGTCTTTCAGTATGGAGTTTCCATAAAAACTCCAATGTATTAAGTGAGAAAACTGCACCACTATTTGAATTTAAATACTATTCCTCAGTAGTGGCACGTTTAGTGATTGTGATAGAGTTGCCGCAAAGATTATAGGGCATAGTGTTGCAGAGCTGCTTAATGTAGTGCAGCCAGCACCAACCAGAGGCTACATCTACCTAGAGAGGCTACAAGCTTGTTGTGTGAAGTTTATCTGAGCCAAAGGACAGCAGTAGACTTAATATTTTTTTTACTAGGAATATTAATTGTCGTCTAATGATGGAGGTAAAAGTAAAGTGGCTTCTGATCTGAGAGAGACTCCCAGAGAAATAGTGCTACAACCACAAGAGACAGAAAAAAGGTGTTTGGCAGTGCAGAATTGTATGCAAAAAGGTCTCCGCAATATACAGTATACTGATGAACATCAAACCTGGGTCACCACGAAGTTCATGTACAGAACATTTTCTAAAATGTTTCCTGTGCCAAATGTTTATATAGCAGTTCTTTTAAAATATCTGCTTGGTTTCTAATAAGTAACATAGTAATTTTACCCTTATGTTGACCCAGGGATGATTTGTCGACTCAGGAAAAAGACTTACAGTACAAGACACATGTAAATGCCCTGTGAAAAGCTTCATTAGTTCATCTTAAAAGCTCAAGTAATGAAACTGCAAGGAGTAGTTGAGGTCAACAAGTTTTCTGGCTATGCAAAATTTATGTTTTCGAAAAGGTACTTCAAACAAAAACAAGGTTATTTGTGCTTGGTGCAATACTTCTTGACAAGGAATCTTGTCTTGTTAACTTCCCCTTAAATGTAGCGACACTTGTGAGCTGTGCACATTATCATCTAGTTGTTGGTGGAGGCCGTGTGGACACCATCTGCCAAAATAGTGCTTGTCTCAATGCGATGAGATCCAACAACCCGTCACAATCCCTCATCTTAAATCAGGATTGAACTCTGTCTTCCAAGGTGTCAGTGGTCGCCCTTAACCAGCAGGATTTATCAGACCACATGGAACATCAGTCTGGGTGTTTTGTTTGTTCCAGAGTAACACAATCCACCAATCTGGCTGATTTGTGACGAATACTGGCTGAAAATTGGGACATTATCCCACACCAGTGTCTGACCAAGGATGTGTCAAACTGTTGTGGTTGTGTAGATTTATTCCACTCACTACTGAGATCCCCATTTGTTATATGAAGATATTATTGAACTGCTTTTATATGTGTTGTTTCTAGTAATAACAAATAACAGAATGCAATGTTTTGGCCAGTTTTTCATAAATGTTTAAATGTTTTACTTATAAATGTGGCACCATTTAAAGTGAAATGAACAAACCTTCCTGTCATGAATGGCAGGAAGGAAGCATTGTTTACATATTAAGCATTGTTACAAGCAAAAAATAATCAACTAATCTAAAATATAAATACCTGGCTAATCAAGCTAGGTAGGTAGCAATAGAATCATTGCTTCAAAAAAAATAAAAAAGTCAAACAAAAAATGTCTAAAATGTCAATAGTACTTCTATGTACGTAGCACAATGCTTACAGTACAGAAATATAAAATGGAATTATGGTAGAAAAAACATTTTGTATTTACATTTTACAGTGATTGATATTACAGGCATTATATTGTATATTTACAATCCTTTCCTATTTTTCACATATGTACAACGTATTGTATAAACCCTATATTATCCGTTTTATAAATTATATTTACTACCCTAGTAATCGTAAAACCAATACTTAAATTTCTATTTTGTTGTAAAAATTGCTTGAGTATGCAATGTCTCAGTCTCAGAAAGAGACCTAGTAAATGCTACTAACTGTACTGTAGAATAGTGACTCCAAATTAAGGTCAGCTCTTTTGAACATTGTGGGGAAACTATTTTTTCAAGGTTTAAGGGAATTCATGACAAATAATTAACCTTTGTTTTTGATCCGAAACGACACACGCAGCTCGGTTACTTGTGGTTCCAAGTCAAACATATTGATCTGCTGTTCACAGGGCGTTTATCGTAAGAGCACCAAAGAAATTGTACAGTATATATACAACCCCCAAAGTGTAAGGCATGACACAATACAATACAATACAGCAAATTCCCAAGTCGGTCACTTTCAGCTATGCTATAAGTATTCCGTTGATGTTCACTTTATTCAATTCAGATTGAAGCATTTTAAACCCATGCCATTTGGCTTAATTCAAATCAAATTAAATGTCTGTTTAAAATCTTTTAAGTTCCACTTGTGTCCATTTTTGCAGTACTCTGAGACCAGCCCCAGTTCTTCTGGATCGACCAGACGTTTTTGTAAAACAGTCCTAAAAGTCGTTGTGTACATCCGAATTCTCCAGGACAGACACCCGTCTGGTTTTTTTTCTGCAAACCACCAGAACCATTTTTTTTTTTAATAATTGTAAGCCTCACTCCCTTATGTGCACTGCTGTATTATAGGAACTGTACATTTGTACTGATTCAGTCTGTAAACACAGTTGTGTACTTGAGTAGGCAGTGCAGGCCTTTTAGAAGGACGATGTATCTGAGAGTTTGTACAAAATACACACAATAATTAATCTTTGTCTTGTTAATAAACAGTGGCACAATTTTTAGGTGATTAGGAATCATTCTCTTCTAGGTTGATGGCGACAGGGATTCTTTGTATAGAAACATTATTTGTAAAGGCAAAGGACATTTGTGTTTACATTTTTTTTAAACAAACTGCCTTATTATTTACATTTATTGGCACCCCTCATAAAAAAGTAAAAACCCCTGCATTATAATTTCACACAGAATTTAATGTTGACCTTAAATTATGACTTATGATAACAGCAGGAGGGTAAACCCACAGCACCCTGGCAATTCCTGTAAAGGTAACAGAAAAGCATTTTTGACATAAACTTAACTCTTTTCTAGACAGAGTAGTTAGAGTATCGCTGAACTTTTAAATGGTAATCCTCAACTTCCTTTAAAGCTAAAGTATATAACTTTTACAAAAATATGTTGCTTACATTTCTGTTAAAACTGTCACCATGTTGTGACGGTATAATATGAGAGGGATAAAATGTGAAAAGTGCTCCTTGAACTCCAGTCTGGACTACTACTACTGTCTGAAGAATTGCATGGCCTAGTCATGAACAATCAACCAGAGCCAAGAGGAGAGTCTTAGTACTGTCAATCATCCTTGTGTATGCGCTCGTTAATGTGGTAATAGTAGAGAATCAACTTTCCTTTCCAGAAAAAATGTTTATCAACCGACATCGGTGATCATGCTAGGTATCCCTAAGCATTCTTCAGGCTCTGTTGTGGTGAACCAGCTGCATCTTAGCAGAGAAAATGGGGAGGTTGTGAGCAGCATTAACAAGGGCAATTAACAGCGCTAAGACCCTCCTCCTAGCTCTGATTGGTTGTTTGATGTATGAGTGATGTATTTGTTCAGAAAACAGCAGGACCACAGGGTTTTTTCCCCCAGATTATTAGTCTCATTATACTATCACAACATAGTGAATCATTTTTAACAAAATTCTAAGGACAGATTTTATAAAAGTTACATGCTGCTGCTTTAAAGACATTCCTGATCAAAATTTCAAGACTAAGAAAAAAGTTATGGCTCTTCACATGTCATAATCCCTGATCACAATCAGGCTATAAATTGAACTTTAAATGCAAAACAAGAAACAAGAGCAAGAGGAAAAATAAAAAAAAAGGCATATGATTGAAAATTGTTTTGAAACTCAAAAGGCTGTGCATCAGCTCCCTTCCCTAAATGCTTTTAAAGGAACTTAAGTTGGTTTAATATGCAGGATGCTCCAGAAGAGCAATGTTGTTATCCTGGTAGAAGTCTTTTGTGAGAAGGGTGTTGTCAACTGCAGCACTGTCCAGTTGAAATACCCAGTCATCATCACACAGACAAGGCCCCTTAGACAAGAGGGATGCCCGCTTCAACATCCCCACATAGGCTTCACGTCACTGCACAAACTGAAACTCCCCAGGCCGATTCCACTGGTCTTTATAGAAAACATCTCCAGTAGGATTTCTTTTCAGATGTCGTCTTATTGTATTAAAGGTTTGCAATCAGCATCAGTAAATGCCATCATCTGGGTTAAGAAGTCTGGGATCCTTTTTCTTAAGATGTTTTAAAGTTTTGATGTGAAAGCCAGATTTGTGCACATATTTGACCTTTTAAAGTTACTGGTTTTAATGTTTGCATTTTCAACAATTTGCTAACTCCGTTTGGTTTCTTGCTCCTGATTCATCCGTTTGGATGTTGAAGTGCAACCTAAAGCCTGGTTATGATTAACCAATACTTAATGTGATTTTTTTTTTTTTTTTGCACTTTCTTTTCCAGTCTGAGGAGCTTGATCAAGCATGAATGACACAGATGCTAATTCCTCTCAGCCACTTTTCAAGATGGGAAATTCAAGAAAACGTGATTCAAGAAAAGAAAAGTAAGTTACAAAAATCTCCAAAGTTCTCCGTTACAGGACTCAACTGTTGTTGAGTTGTTTTGAGAACTGCTGCATCTTTTCTAGGGGTATCAATCAATTTGGTGGGTGCTGGAAATATGCTTCTAGGATAATTCCAGAAAAACTGGGCCAGAAGGGTAAAGGGGCCAAGCCAACTTCTCCTTACATTAGGGCACAAGTGCCCTACAGAGTGGAGGTTTGTGAGTTTTAAAGGTTTCAGGCAGGATTGCTAAAAATATGTATTGTCCTTGTTTGAATAGCACCCAGGGCTGTGAGTGTGAAAAATATTTTGTTTTTGTTAGCTGTTCTTGGAAAATAAAGGTTAGAGTTTTAAAATGTTGAGACTTGTGGGCCGTTGGCTAAAGGTGATTTTCATTTTTGGTGTCCAACCTCATTTGTGCGCTCATTTACAAAATGCGTGGAGACTAGATAAGGCAAAATCTCTCCTAGCCAAGCACAAGAAACACAAGCCTCGAACAGGCCAGTTAAATCGCCCTTCCTGAACGGGGCTGTCAGCTCAGCAGTTGGAGCCAGCAGGTGTGTAGTTACTCAGTTCCCTGCGGATAGTACTGAACGGCGACAGCTCCAGTTCAGTAGTGCACTCGTGCTCGTTATCATCACTGGCTGTGGCTGAAGAGGGTACGTGGTTACAGCAGCAACAACAGCAGCAGTCCAGGAATGCTCTCCCTAATGGACGACACAGCAGAAGCAGCAGCGCCGGTGTCACGGCGGCCCGACAGAACAGCAACAGCTGAGAGAGAAGATGCAGGACGGACATGGTGTGCTCTGGAACACCAGCCGCCATGTACGCAGATACTATGTTGCATATGTTTTCGGGCACCACACATGCACCATACACGATTGCCAGAGCCACGACCGTGCAGTTCATCTGGCTCTCCAGCCTGATCTGCTTCTTATTGCTGCGAACGCTGGCCTGCTCGGCGTGCCTAATTTTGCGTGCCGTTACCAGCGAGCACCCAATGGTGAAGAGAGTCGGGAGGCAGAAGTAGCAGCCAAAGCACCACCAAAGCCGAGCACCCTCATAGGTCAAGCCAAGCACATAGAGCATATCAGGAAGGGATGTGGATATCCTGATAATACAGCGTTCAACTGGGGGCTCGTCCAGGAGCCCTGTATCCTCTGCTACAAGCTGTCGAATGAGGAGCTCTGGGAGGGCCAAGAGGAGGGCACCGATCCAGATGACTGCCAACTTGGCTGTTGTAGATGTGCAGTTCTCAATCATCTCGTAGTACATCTGAACATTTGTGGCTGCACGGAAGCGGTCAATGCAGAGTGCGCAAAGGGTGAAGGTAGTCACACCCAAGGAGGCAACCTGAAAAGACAAAAACGCACGGTTAGCATTAGAAATAATGTTTGAAGGTGAATTGAATGTCAAAACAGTTAATCTGTACAGCCACCCTGGGATTAACTTTAAATAAATTAAATCACCCCAATAACCTTGCTCATCATAATTATGTATTACTTTGATCACTTACAACGCCAGTGTAATAAAATTCTTGGCTGCAGTCACAAAATGTGAATGAGTGTAAATGTTATTACAACTTCAGTAAGGCACTGAACACTATATAAAACATTTAATTTCCTAATATAACTGGGTTTTATATACTATTCCTTCACCACCTAACTGCAGAACATGTACCATCAGCTTGAAGCAGTTTCTGATGCACAAAAGTGGGTCCTAAGTTCTAATTATCATAGAATGTTCAAGTATATCTAAGTGACAGATTTGAAAATAAAATTAAATAAAGTACATAAAGCTGCTAATGTTTCTTCACATTCAAAATCCCAGCTCTTTCAGCTGCACTAGTTCCCTCAACATCTGTTGTATTAATTCACTATCAGCTAAAGTGGGTCTGCATTTGTGTCCTGAAATGAACCATTTCCTTTCAGCACCAAACTTATTCCAACCACTCTTGTTTTGCCTACCTTCTTCATTTTCTTTTTGTCTCACACTTGTGTCTCCTTTAATTTTTATCGTCTTACCATCTCACAAACCTCTTTTCCTTTTTACAGAACCCTCCCTCCATCCTGCCTTTCATATCAAATTTAATTACAGCAGCCAGATTCCCAGATGGCCCCGGTGAGCCAAGGTTTTGGTGCTGTAAACACATCCTTCCTGGACAGATAGATGAACATGCTCTGCAAGATGTTCAGTGTAAGTAGGCCTCCTTCACACATCAAGACACACACGCTCACACACACCCTGACACAAAGGTCCTAACCAGGTTAATGAAGGGTAACCATACGGAACTCTGAGGAGTAAGTGGGGAAACAAACACCCGTAGGCTCCACAGCCATCAAATCTTACTGCGATCAATGTGACCGCTGAACCCCACACTGTAATTACTTGTCAAGACCGTCTTGCAGCTCTTATGCTTGAAATATTTAAATAGATTAATCAACGGTATATGTTAGGCAGGTATCTGAAGGCACTTTCCAAAACACCTCAAGATTGTCAAGGCGTTAAGCCATCTTTTATGCTGGCTGAAGTCAAGACAAGTGTGGAAAGGTGTACTTTCCTGGACCAAACCGCTGTAGAAGAATGGGGTTTCCCTGTAAAAAGGCTGACCTCCCCAAGTTTTGTTTTAGCAAAAATCTTTCGCTCCCCACCGAATTACCAGATGGCACCATGTCAATTACTTATGTAGGTTTGATGCTTGACAAAATATGAGGTGTAGATCGGTTGCAGAATTTAAATTCACCTGAAAAAAGTCATATGGGGTCCACATTCTATTGTTGAAGAAAGACTGGATTTAGTTCAACTGTGAAACTCCTGTCTGCTGAAAAAAGGCTATTATGCTTTGTGAAAATAATCTTTTCATAGCTTGAAAGGTTTACATTTGACATATTGGCCTCATTTAATGCATGTTAATATTCCACTTAAAGCACTCAATCCAGCTGAGTAGTCTTTTTTTTTTTTCTGAAGCCGAAGGTCCTTGGATGAAATCACTCCGTAATACCTAAGAAGCAGTCTTTCTGCAGGCTGGTTAAATCCTCAACAAACTAAAAAGCTTCTGTGCTTCTTTATTATCATCTTTCAAATAACATTTTGCACATTATTAGAGCAATTGACATACATCCCTTGAATCTGTGAAGCACTAGCAATAAATGTAATGCTTTTGCAGGAAACAATGTACTATTTTATGATGTAGTCTTACCCCTATGAAAATGTATTTTCTCAAATCTATGTTTTTTTCCCCTGTCCTTTAGTGCAGCTAAAACACCAACTCTTTAGTCCAACAATGTAACTCATACATTTATTTACAGTTAGGAAAACGGTGAATAATGTATATATAATTTGTTTCTCAAATATGATACAAAAATATATGGCATGTGTATGTTAGCCTTTCTCACTCCTAATGACAAACAGGAGCAAGTGGTTTTTCAAAGTTGATTTAGTTTGGCTCATATTTAATAAGAGCAGACTGCACCAAAGGTTAACAGCCATAATAAATGAAAATCAGATGTCCATGCATAAAACAAATGCAATTAATTTAACACCAGTTTTTGGCTAATTGTCATAATTCACCATAATACTCAGCTATGGTATTGTCAGAATTTGCTGTAAATCAAAAATCTGTTGTACTTTATATCAATGTGTCAGGCTATTGTTGGTGGTATAATAGTGTGGGAGACAGTTGCACCATTAAATGCCACTGCCCACCTGGGAATTGTTGCTGGTTGTGTTGATCCCTTTACGGGATGGGTACACACTGTGTACCCATCTACTTTCATCAGGTCAGTACATCCAGTGCTGACCAGTTGTGCCTTCTTATATATTTACAAAATACATGTTTATATTTTACATTTTTGATGTGAATAAGCTTAATAATTCAAATTGCTTGGTATGACCCACTTCTGAGTCTCAAATAACCATCCAGTATACGTGCACAGGTACTTGCACACGCTGAATATTTCATGGCCTGAGAACAGGGCTGGAATGGGTTTAAAGGCTTCCTCGGAGGCTCGAGGCACCCAGCTTTGATCAAGTGTGTCAGACTGGAAAGCAAGGGCAGGGAGAACAAGCATAGCTTTGTACTGGAGGGGAGATGAGGGAGTGAGATTGTCCAAGACTCACGGCTGGTGAGGTGTCGAAGCTGTTTGTTTGTACAGGGACATATGCAAATGAGAGGGTGAGAAACAATGGGGAAAGAGCAGACAAGTGTAATTTATGAGGCAAACAAAGACAGAAAAAAATAACACATCTGTGAGTTATAGATGATCCAAAGAGACAGAAGGAGAAAAATAAGTCATGACGTCTACAGAATAATTAGCAATGTTAATGTGGCATTTGGTCCCAACAGCAGACCCTGTCATGTTCGCTTTACCTGCAGGTGAGACAACAGGCCAGGTAGCCTCAAGACTTTAGTCCCATTATTTCTAACAATAATGACAAAATAGTTGGTACGAAGGGATCACTTACTATTCAAGCAATCCATTTCAGGATAACTTTAAAACAATATTTATGGGTAAAAGGAAATATTTAGTAATGAAAACCCCTTTGATTGTGAGTACACATGTTTTTATGTTTCAGTTTTCTACTTGCACAGCGAGTGATTGTCCACCTGTGCTATAACGGCCCATTAACTCTTTAATTAAGAGCTGGTGGTACAAAAGTTCTTGATTTAAACTGAATCTTAGCAAAAAAAAATTTAGCAAATGTGGACCACAGCCTGACTGCAGGCACTGCCAGAGGTAATGGGTGCTCTCAGGTGATGTATGGGCTGACATCAAAAACAATGCCCAGCTACAACCACAGTCTTTAAGTAATGGAGCAGGCAGAGAAGGGGTTATTCCACCTGCTGCACTTATTCACAGTAGAGTATGACCCAGTGACTGCTCCAGCAGACCATTACTCCAACCACAAGTCCCAACTCTTTGACACCAGCCATCTATAAGTTTGGTTGGAAGAAAAACAGAAGTGTAAAAAGTAGGTAAACAAGCATATCAATAAATGTATGTCTAAGGCAGGAAGTCATCAGACGATGCAGAGTCTCTTACATCTAACATGTTTTATGTAGCTTCAATAGTTACAATTACCTTATCCCTATATATATTATTTCCATTGTGTTATTTTCATCTTTAAGTCTCACTTTAGGCATCCTAAATGTCTTAAGCTAGGGTTTGTGAAACAGTGGTGTGTGTGTGTATGCTCCTATATGTAATAGATATGTGCATGCAGATAGGCAAAATGAACCAGTTTGGGTACAGATTCTGTTTTGCATGAAAAATCGTCTCTTGCAACACTGATTGATTCTCTATCCTTCTCTGGAATGGAATAAAACATTGATCGTACATTTGAGCCCATCTAATCTACCTAGCTGACTAATTTGTCTTGCTAATTTAGGACTGTGCATCTCTGGTGGGTTGTTATTGAAAAGTGAAACCCCCTTCTACCACAGACATGCATTTGAGTGGAGGAAATGTCAGACTGACAATTCTATCATATGACAGTCTTCAAGCGTTTGAACTGCAAAAGAGAATAAATCACTGGTTACCACTGAGGCTACAATTCACACAAGATCACCCAGAATATCAGATTAGAACATTTGAACGTTACTGTTTGTAACATTCAAATAGTAGAGTAAGATGTTTTTCTAATCAGTATGAAAGCATCAGTCTATCAGGGTGATGTTGACATTTTCTTGGCATGCTTAGTCCCAACTGAGCACAATTTTAGTGTCGGTATTTTTGCTGATGTTGTCCATTCCACTAATACCTCAGAGTACCTATTTCCTAATGACTAGTTTCAGCAGGATAATAAACCATGTCACAAGTCCTCTCAAAATGGTTTCTTTAACATAACACTGACGTCCAATGTCCAATAGAAATCAAGTTTCAATAAATTTTCAAGTAATGTATGGGGACAGGAGATTTTCTTGATAGGACGATGTTTCCAACAACAGCCTGCAGTTGGCTCCTTAACATACCTGCTGCCTAATGTAGCTTTGAAATAGCCTTACCATACTAAGAATATTGTGTAGCTTGATGACTCTGTGTTTTTCCTGACTGGAAAGACTTCCAAACAAATAAGTTTTCTTTCTTGAAAGCAACAAAGACATATTGGAATAACGTAAACTTAATTACTCTATACTCTATTCAGGCCTTTCTGAAACCTTATAAAAGTTTGAACCCAACAAAAAGTGTTTTACAAACCTTAGTACAACTTGATATGATGACTATTACAGTCAGCAGGCAATTACACTGTTTTTTTACCCTCCTAGTACATAGATTGTTTCAGTTGCTCTGGATGCATGTTAATTATGCGAGTCAGAACATCAAAACATTTTGTACATGTCGCCTTTGAGATAT